CAACTATAATGCATCAGATCCTGACGGAATAACTAACGAACTGGTATGACATAAATATCTATTGAAACCACTACGTCATGTGTTACAAAAAGAGTAATATACCGTCCCAGTGGAAAGTTAAGAGAGTAACTTCAGTCTTCAAAGTTGAAGGTCAAAATGATATGTGCAATTACCGATCAATTTTTGTCATCAATAATTTTGCTAAACTATTCAAACAATCTGTCAAAAATCAAATGAAAGATTTCATTGGTAAACATCATCTGATAACACAACAACAATTCTGGCCCATAAACAAATCGAATACTGAAAATGCCGTGCTCGACATCGTGGAACAAACAGTAAGAGCTATGGACAAGTGTTTGAAATTTCTCTCGGTGTTTATGGACTTGGCAAAGGCTTTTAATACTGTGTCGCATGAAACCCTAGTCAAAAAATTGTGTAATTATGGTATTAGAAGTCATGCTTTGGAATTAATGCAGAATTAATTGAAAGAACAAACACAAACTGTTGAAATTGGTTGCAAGCTCAGTACAACATTACAAATCATTATGGGTATACCCCTGGGAACAGTACTTGGCCCGGTCCTTTTTCTTGCTTACATAAACGCAATATCGCAGAATAATGAATTTCTCGGTCATATTATGCAGATGATACGGCCATGATGTCCACTGGTGAAGGTGGGGAGGAAGTCTATAAAAATTCTCAAATTAATGTGAGAAAAATTCTTCTTCAACACTGACCTGCAGAAAAAGTTTTGATTTTAAATGCCTATTATAGAAAAAACATTTGGGTTTTGTTATTGATCAACATATGAGATAGGACAAACAAGTATCATATGTAACACAAGGGATGAGACTATACATGCGTAAATTTTATACTGTTAGAGATATTCTTCCTAAAAAAACTTTTGCAGAATCTATTACGAGATATTGTATAATAATATGGGATGAATTCCGTGAAGCCTCACAGATTTTTTGAAACATTTTGGAATTCACTAAATTAGCCAGAAATGTATCTGCATTGAATTTAAATCCGGATAAAATTGCTTATTCAACTTGTCATTATGAATAGATGATTTTTGAACAGTTTTATGAATGGTGTAGTCCCGTATTATAAAAAAGTTTCATATTCTATTATATCGCTGACTAGAAGTGGCAAATGCAGAATTTAGCAAATTTTTTTCAAATTACATTTGGGATATTCATTGTCATTTTCAAGTTCGATAAGTTAACAAATCAACAACACCTCGTCATTTTTAAATTGCATTCAGTATATATGAATTTATGCTACGAATTTATCAAAAATGCTAAATGAGATGAGATAAGTAGGTACCATTCCGAAAATATCGAAAGAAATGAATATACAACAAAGAATTCGATTGTATTCCTGAATGGATGCGGGTTTTGTTTGCCTACTTTTTGACAATGACCCGTTACTTTATGATATTTCATGGCACAGGTACCAGAGAATGATTGACCAGAACAAAAGTACTGTCTCTCGATGTGCGTTTTCTTAACAAAGTTAACATCATCAGGAGACGACTAAACTGTCATCAGTCATCTCGCGACGTTGCTAACTTGGTCAATGAAAAGCCAGTTGAGGATTTTTCTTCGGGTGCTGTGAGAAAATAGATGGTAATTGATGATGGTAACGTTCATAATCATAGCATTCTTACACTAGTCGATGATAAACTATTTCATGTAACAAAATTTCAACGTAGAAATTCTCGTCTGAAGAAGTAGATGATAAACATGAACTACAACTGATTTCTCATTTGGAAATTTTGAAGATTATAAATCAGTAGTGAAATGACAGAAATGTCGGTCAAAATTACTCTGTAATTTACAAGATTTATACATAGAACATTCAAGAAATATTTCACTCGTGTGTGGTTGAAAAATATCAATCGTGCCCATAGAATTGAAGAACCAAGTCTTTCATACTTTTATATTTACCCAATAACAAATTAATATTTTGCCTCTTTATGAAAGGAAATTTCGATTTCTTTTCGAGACTCCGAACAAAAGAACGATTTTGTATAGCGTGTCTCGAGTCTTGATATTTGATTTTATTCTCGCCGCTTACGAGGATTCGTTTCAGATGATTTTATTTTCCGAATAATTCTGAGATAATATGCGTTAAATCGGTAGTCGTGAAACGTGAGATACAATTATTTTTTTCTTCAAGGAATTGGTAAGTTGTATAAGTGATTTCGTGGCTAGATTGAAAGAACCGTAATAGAATATTAATGAAAGCTGAAAAGAAAAGAAGTGATTCAATCGAGAGCACCATATAAATCATTATAAACTGGAAAAAATCAATCAGGTGTGTTTATTAATTTTCAAGAACGCTTTTATGGATCATTGATGTCGAATGAATTAAGATGATGTTCAGTTATTTCAACTGAAGGACATGTATTAGAAACAAATAGGCCAGGCTCAGAGTTGAGATTTAGTTTATTTCATCTTCTGAAGATGTCAACTAGGTTGGTGAAACGCGTGTCGAAAAGAGTGTTGTGGTACTGGTGTGAAAGCAGTGCATATTTTGGATTTAATATCCAAAGTTTAATGCGAATCCGCTATTTTCATTACATATTTTTCCTTTTTGAAATATTTTGTTCGTTCAATGATGGTTTATTTTCATAGTATGTTGAAAAAATTATTCCATTACTGCTGATACAGGTTGCTTTTATGGGACTATTAATTGAAAGAGTTTTAGAATTTCAAGATCTATTTTTATTAGAGGCATACTATTTTTTAAACGGTTTCATTTAGCGTGCCCTGTTTGTTTGTTTAATCCCTTTGCAGGAACTCATATAAGCTATAATAACCCCCGTTCGTCAATAATTCTTTGATATGGTTCTTGAAACTTACTAAGTGTAGGTCCTTGACATCCTGTGGCAATGAATTAAAAGGTATGATGACATTATACCTAAGAGATTCCTTGAATGTTGAAGTTTTGTGTTTTGGGATGGTCAAGTGTTTAGTTCGTGTTGCATAATTATGAGTGACTAACTCGTGATTGCAATGAACTATGTTGTTTCTCAAATGAAGCAGAGCTTTATAAATATAGATACAGGGTAAAGTTGATATTTTATATTTTGAAAATAAAGCTCTACAGCTAGATCTTGGTGTAATGTCAAATATGATTCTCATGATTTTTTTTTGGAGAATAAATACACGTCTTGCGCCCGTAGAAGTACCCCACATTAATGTATTTTGAGCCATGTGGGAATAGGCCAATTTTTCACACACATGATCAATGTGAGGCTCCCAAGACAAGGTTTATTCTAAGTGCATACCTAGGAGTTTGGCTGTATCAGATATTTGGTCATTATTAAGATTCAATATCTTTCTCAAGGAGAAACCCAAGTGAATTATTTTATTTGCACTCAGTTTCAGTTGGTTTCTGTCACACCAAGAAACCATAGCGTCCATGACTGAGTTTATATTGAATTCTTACACATCTATTGTGTTACCAGACACGGATATGGTAGTGTCATCTGCGAGCATTACGGTGTTTGATATATTACCATGTTTGATATGTTTCGGGAGATCATTTATATAGATTGAAAACAGCAGCGGTCCTAATATCGAACCTTGTGGTACACCAAGCATAATATCTTGAATATGTGATGCAGTGTTATTCAGGGTCACAACTATTTCTCTGTCAGATAAGAATAACTTAATCCATTCAAGTACGACTCCTCTGATACCAATGTAGTACAATTTACTGATCATAATTTCATTTCTTACTAAATCAAAGGCTTTCGCTAGATCAAATAAGATTGAAACTACATACTTTCCCTTATCAATGTTATTGTAAATGAACTCAAATTTACTAGCAATAGCTGTTTCAACCGATCTAGCTTTTCTAAAGCCATGTTG